GACTATTCTGGTGAAGGCTGGTGAGTGGGAAAGGAAGCATCACTGTCAGGCCCCTGACTCAATGTCAGTGCAGCCTTCTATCAGAATCAGGTTCTCTCAGCTATCCTTGGGGAAGCGTTTGGCCTGGACATCTTTAATGTCTGCTCAAGTCATCTTATGCATACCTCTTTTCTTTCATTCTGGGCTGTCAACTTATTGAGGGGGGAATCCAGCCTTTCACATGGTCTTTTTCCTTGTGAGTAACTGCTTAGTAAATGTGCAATAAATGAGTTGGTTTTCAAGAAATCAGATGCTGTTTATACGTATCATTCTTTCCCTCTGTACTTCAGATAACCTTGGCCGTCTTGCACACCCTGCATCCTTGATAGAGAATCAAGTGTGTCCTGCATCCATGAACAGTGGCCCAATTGCTGGCCTAGCCTCCAGTCTCTCTGGAGCCAGCCCCTTTCTAGACTATGGGAGTTCTAGTGGGAGCTGAGGTCCCAGGAGCCTGACTGTTTATATCCCCACAGGGAGAGTGGCCTCACTGTGCCAAGGGATGCATTGGTGTCTTAGCTCCATAGGATGCTTGCATATGGAAAAAAGAGGACTCATTTTCAAGATGTCTTAGGTCCTTGGAAGTAGACATTAAAGCACTACCTCATTAATCTGTCAGTCAGCAAATATTTCTGGATCATGTCTGCTGGGCGGCACTGGGCCTGACACTGAAGTATTCATGAACAAGACAGGCATGTTCCTTGCTCCAGGGAGTGCAGTCTAGCAGGAAAAGCATAGATATATTAAGCAAATTATTATCTTGGACAAACATTGCTATTTGGTGCCAGGCTTAAAAGTCTCAGGGATCACTATGCTGTTATTGCAACCCATTTCCCCTCCAGGGGAGTCCTGTGGCTTGGATTCATATCCATAGTTTTCTCGGAGGCTTTCTGGTCCAGATCATCTTGTTAGTACCTGGAGAAAGCTTTGGAATTTGCTTTAAAGCAGGTACCAAGTTCCTGAAACATTGCCATTTAACATTAGGGATGCCACTTGAGATCTGGTTACTGTGTGACCAACCACTCACACCCTCTATATCTTCATCTATATATGAGGTCAGTGGTCTAAGAGCCACACTTAGATAAATTCCATGGAAGGCCAATCCCAGAACATGGCCTGGAGAGGAGTTTCATGATCACATAAGCTTGGGAAACAGTTATCCCCCATCCCACTAAAACTATAGATGTTCAAGTCCCTTATGTAAAATGGCATAGTGTTTGCATATAACCTGTGCGTATACCCCAGGTACTTTATTTATTTTTTTAATACCTTTATTTTATTTTTATGTGGTGCTGAGGGTTGAACCCAGCGCCCCGCACATGCTTGGCGAGCACTCTACTGCTGATCCACAACCCCAGCCCCCCCCCACCATGTACTTTAAATCAGTTCTAGATTACTTATGATCACAATGTAAATGCTGTGTAAGTAGTTGTTATACTATATTGTTTAGGGAAGAATGAGAAGAAAAAAATGTGCATCTTCAGTACAAACACAATACTTCCCCTCCACTGTTTTCAGTCTGGTTGGTTGAATTCTTGGACACAGAACCTATGACTGTGGAAGTCTGATTATATATTTCCCCTCTTCTAGATACATGGGATGCAGTAAAGAGCCTGGGAATCCCTGATGCACACAGTCTTGTCTAGCTTTGTTGAAATTACCTTTTCATTAAATTAAATTTCTGGACTGGCTCCCTCTTGTCACATCACATTATTTTCCTAAGGCTTAAGACCCCGAGGAGCCCAAAGACCAGAGACCTCTGAAGGCCCAGACCTCTGCTGTATTTAGCATTCTGGTTGGTGATGCCTTGGGCTGGGGGACAGTGGCCCTGGGCCTTGCAGCTTCTGGCATCCCTTCTTCTTTGCTGGATCCTGCTGGTGTCCCAGGAGACAGCTGGCTGTGAATTTCCTTGGTATCTTCTGGAGACATTTTAAGACTCTCGTGGATGTGGTGCTGCCTCAGAATCCACACTCATTCTTAATTGGTCTCAGAACCATCAGCTCGCCAAGCCATCTGTCACAGGAAACTTGAGCAGTACTCAGAGTCCCATTAATAATTCAGCTGACGAGCTTCTTCAGACGCAGCCCTCAGCCACAGGACTACTTGTCTTCTGCCTCCAGAGATGTCCCAGGGAGAGTTCTCTGTTATAGCACAGAAGTTAATGACTCAGGCAGTAGGACCCCGCACTCTCCCAGAATCCCCAAAGCCTCCTCAGTGGGAAGAGGGACAATTGATCCAGATTTATCCCGCTCTAATTACCTCAGCCATCTTGGAAAGAGTGGGCTGGCAAGGCTGGGTTGGCGAGCTCTGGGGAGTGCATTGCCCCTGGTGAGCTTCAAGCAAGTCCCTTGTGCTGGGAAGGGAGGCTTGTCCACTGTGATGAGTGAATGGACTCCTCCACTCCTTTCTCACCTGTAGCCTTCACAGCCATTCGGGGGGGAAAAAAAAAAA